TATTCAGTTATGCTTGTTAGTAATCGCATACATGAGACCTGGATATCCACAGATAAATGAAAAAACCTTCCCTAAAAGCCGAGACTGTAAATTCCAAAAAGGTAAAGTTCCCCCCCCCCCCAAAAAAAACCCAAAGAGGATAGAGAGAAACACTGTTGATGGATGATGTATGGAGGGGATTATAATCACTGTAATGAAATAAGTCATATGAATGGTTGAATGTGAAACTGATGATGTGCCCTGTAAACTTTCACTCAATCCACAATAAAAACCTTAAAAAGAAAAAAAAAACAAAAAACAAAAACACATGATGAGAGGACAAGCTAGTTCATGCCAGAAAGTCTCAATACCACCAACCTGGCATGGAGCTGGAGGGTAGACCACAAGGTGGTGGTTCAAACCCACCAGCTGCTCATCAAACACCCTATGCAGGGTCACTCTGAGGTGGAACTGGCTCAACAGCGCCTAACAAGAATCTATATATTTAATGCAACTCCAATTAAACGCTGGACAGGCTTTTTCATATGACTAGAAGATCTGACTTTAACATTTACACAGAAGAAGAAAACAGTCCCAAATAGACAAGACACCCATAGCTAGGACTGAGCAGCACAGCCCGTCGCCACCCTCCTAATCCCCAACCCCTGGCACTTACCTCTCCGCTCGGCTATCTGCAGGTAGCCTGTGGAAAGGTACTGCTCCATGTCCTGCTGGAAGGCCTCCTCAAAGAACTTCTGCCGCTCCTTGAGCTTCACTTGCTGCGTGTGTTCCATTTCCAGGGCCTTCTGGGTGTGTGCGGCATCGAGTCCAGCTGAGAAAGGGAAAGCTCGGGTCAGGATTTGTAAAAAACTGAGACAGGGATGAGGATGATACCTACTCCCAGCCATCCTCCATCTGAGCATGCACACCCCTTTCCCAAGTGTGGCCTCACACAACTGACCGCCTATCCCACAAGTGCTTCCCACTGCACCTGTGCATGCTGGGCCATTGCCTCCCCTCTACCTGGAATGGCTGTCCCAGCACAGAGACCGTGGAGGGAAGGAGATAGCATGAAAAAGCAGATAGCTTTCCAAGGTCAACTTCTCAATCCTTCAACTAATTCAAGGAGGATCTGCTGCTCCCTTCTAGAAGAACACTTTATAGCTCGAAGATTTGGAGCCCCCATGGAGAACTGTTACTATTATTCACTTTGATGTCTGATCACCTAGCTCAATGCTTAGCACATACAAGGGGGTTTTCAAGAAGTTTGCGGGAAATTGGAATTAAAAGAAAATGAAAATTTTCCATGGAAAATTTGAAGCCCCTTGTAATGAACACTCAATAAAGCAGACGGAAAAATGGTCATGAGAGAGAAGTGCGGAGAAGTTTATCATCAGTCCTGGCTGTGCTGGTGAGAAACTGTGTGACTTTTGGGCAAGGAACAGCTACTGTTGTTAAACAGGTCAGGGTTACCTGACCTAAGCAGGCTCTTAAAGGGGCCTGGGATTATCCTAGAGGAAGAGAGCCAGTGCACCAAAGGGGTGTCACATGAGGGATGCCAGCCATTGCCGGTTTTGAAGCTGGGGGAAGCCACACGGCTAGGAATGGGAGAGGTGTCCAGGAGCAGTCCTCTGCTAACAGCCAGCCAGAAATCAGGGACCTCAGTTCTACAACCACCTGCATGAGCTCACAAGTGACTGACACTGGGACCTCAGCCTCGTAGACCATGAGCAGGCAGCCAGGCAGACCATGCCGGACTTCTGACTACTAAACCCAAAACATTTATTTTGTTTTAACAAGTTTGTGGTGCCCCATTATGCAGCACTCTGGGGTTGTTGTTGTTAAGTGTTGAGTCGATGCCTACCCATAGCGACCCTGTATAGGGTTTCCAAGGAGCAGCTGGTGAGCTTGAACCACCGACCTTGCAATTCAAACGACTTTGTAGTCTGATGCATTAACCCACAGCAGTTACTTCATGGAAACTGTCTATGAATCCCAGCCTCTGCCTGCTTCTGGTTGTCAGAAGAACTAAAGGCAGACAGCCAGAGTTCTTGCACTTACACAAGTGTTTCCGAGCGCCCATGCTGTGTCTGGCAGGAGGGCAGGGTGCTGTTGTTATTCCGGAAAATCTAACAGAAGAAAGGCTCAGCTACCTTGCTATCCTGGAATAAACCGAGGGCCCTAAACAGTAAGAAATAACATCACCTGAGGCAACGTTGCCTTGGATCATCTTGGGGAGTGTCAAGTGATTCAAAAAACAAACTCAGCAGAATTTACAAAGACTAACTATCTGCACCGCTTCTGAGTATGACATAATCCTGTATGGGTGATAGATACATTCTAAAAGTACAAACTGTGAAATATGAACAAGCAGAGTTAATCCCAAACTAGCTCCAGTCTCTAACACTTACAATGTTCTGGGCATTCTTCTGGTGTTCTAGGATCTACATGGTGCTGTTAAGAGCCCGAAAGTCAGTTCTGACTCATTACAACCCTGTAGTAAGGTTTCTGGGAATCCTGGTGTGATGCTGTGGGTTAATGCGCTGGACTGCAAGGTTGGTGTAACCACAAGATCAGCAGTTAAAGTTCACCAGCCTCTACTTGGAAACCCAATACAGGGTCTCTATGAGTTGGAACCAACTAGACGACACTAAACAAAATAGGATTTCTGAGAAACGACTGGTGGGTTTGAACCACAAACCTTCATGTTAGCAGTCCAGAGCTTATCCTACAGTGTCACACCAGGACTCTTAGTCTACATATATACTCAAGGAATGTAAACTCATTCTTAATTAACCAAAGCCACAGGAAGAGGAAAGTTAACTACAGACTGTCCTTACTTCACACTCTACACTTGCAAGCCATCACTGGACATTACGTACAGATTGAAGCCCACTTCCTGTCGATGTTGACACGGAGGTGGTCTACCACAGGGGAAAAAGTGCGGTAAGTTTTGGCATTGGTGCAGACACTCCTGGTACCTACATCACAGCCCTCAGGGGACCTCAGATGCAGGACTGACCATTCCTCCCACAAGGCCACACCTGTGGTCTCTGTGCTTTCTGCTCAGGGTATTCTCTGGAGCTCAGGGCACCCACAAGCAAGATAAACCCAGCCATTCTGGGACACTGATTGAGGCAGTTCTCACTGGTGGGTGACAGACATCTGTGTGCCAAGGCCCCGTCTCCCTTCCTTTGGATAGACAGTTCTAGGTGAGGCTTTCACTGCTTTCTCGGAGACCCTCTGCCCACAGACCCCTCTACTCCCTCATTCCTGCTTTTTGGAATCACCTTCCAAATAAATGGCCTGCAGCAAAACCCCATATTCCCAACCTGCTTTCAAGCCCAAACTCAGATTATTTGTTCCCATCTGTAACTATCTTAACCTGGGTAATAACACCTACTTGGTAAGGTTGTTGGCAGGATTAAGTGAGATAACATATGGAAATCACCAGACACACGGCAACAGGCCAACAGCTGACAGCTAATGTTAATATCAGCATTATTCAAAAACAACAGATGCTGGAACATGTTAGATGCTACCAAAGACCAGGATCCACAATGGCGCTGACAATCACCTGAGCTCTCAGTTTAGTACTTAGTATTGAAGAAGTAACCGCATCTCAGCTCCTTAAAAAATCTGCAAGGAGTTTAGAGTATACTCACTTGCAAGGGAGGTATGTGACAGGGGGTGGGGTGGGGTGGGGTAGATAAATCTTCAGGGAAGTTTTTCATATTTTCACTTCAGCCATCAGCGTCAGTTTCAAATGGGTAATTATTCAAAACACCAAATTCCACTCCTAGTGAAGACGATGTAATCAGCTATCAATTACATGTTTTAATGGGGCATAGTGATTGCACATGGTACATGAAATAAGAAAAAAACATCTGCTCAGATGCTGCATGTCTGAAAGTGCATTAAAGTCACACCAAAAATATATTAGTGTGCTCTTCAAATGCTTCCAACAAAATTCAGTTAGCCTTTCTTTTAAAGCAATTCACAATTAACAGTTCAACGCCAAAAGAAAATGTAGAAACTGTGGAAAGGGTTTTAATTAATGACCTTGTCTTAACTGAATTAAGACTTTCTATTAGGATCAAGGAACTCTGGTAGCGTAGTGGTTACGAATCAGGCTGCGAACCACAAGGTCAGCAGTTCGAAACTACTAGCTGCTCCGCGGGAAAAAGATGAGGCTTTCTGCTCCGGTAAAGATTTTCAGCCTCGGGAACCCTGTTCAGGGTCGCTATGGGTCGGAACCGACTCCAAAGCACATAACAACAACAATTAGTAGTATCAGCGGAGTCTTGGTGTAGTGCCCTAGGATCAGCACTGGACAGCTAACCACAAGGTTGATGGTTCAAGTCCACTAGTGGCTCCTTGGAAATCCTATACACAGTTAACTGACTCAACAGCACCTAACAACAACAACAATAAGCAGATATTAGGGATCTATCATTGGAAAACATTTCAGTTCTTCTGAAAATACTAATCTCCTTCAAGTCTGAATGACTGATTCTGCAGTGCTTTTCACACTGCTGAGACGTGTAGGCAGGAGGATAGTGGCTTCATCTCTAAGTCTTCGGATGTATTATCAGGAGGGACCAGTCCTTGGAGAAGGACATCATGCTTGGTAAAGTGGAGGGTCAGTGATAAAGAGGAAGACCCCCAACGAGATGGACTGAAGCAGTGGCAGGAACAATGGTGAGGAGGGTGCAGGACTGGGTTCTATTGTTCATAGTGTCACTATGAGTCTGAACTGATCAACGCCACCTAACAACATAGTGTTTTTATCTTAGGGTTTTCTATGTTGTTGTTGTTTTTGTTAAGTGCTACCGAGCTGGTTCCGACTCATAGGGTTTCTGAGGAGCAGCTGTTGACCTTGAACTGGTGAGCCTGGACCACCTACCTTGCAGTTCAAATCAACCCTGCAGTTCAAGCCGACCTTGCAGTCCAGTGCATTAACCCGCAACGCCATGTACTTGGATGCAATCCAATTATGCCTTAACCCTCCTCACAAAGGGTTGAAGCTCACTTAACATGACTTAAAACGAAACAAAAAAGGAGAAACCACTCTTTGGAGCTGTAAATAGTGCCTGTGGCTGTAGTGACCCTAAGGGACAGAGCAGAACTGCCCCACAGGGTTTCCAACACTGTCATCTTTACACAAGTAGACTGCCTCGGCTTTCTTCTGCAGGGCAGCTGCTGGCTTTGAACCAATGACCTCTCGGTTAGCAGCCAAGGGCTTAACCACTGTACCACCAGGGACCTTTTGTCACTCACTCTAAAGCAAACAAACAGAACTCCAAACTCACTGCCAGTGAGTTGGTTCTTATTCACTGCAACCCTCTATGGGGTTTCCAAGGCTGTAAATCTTTTGGGGAGCAGAAAGCCTCATCTTTCTCCCGAGGGGCACTGGTGTGTTTGAACTGCCCACCTTTTGGTGGGAAGTCCAGTGCTTATCTAGTTACTTAAAACACCTGACCTCTTGTTGGCTCACACTTTACTTCAGAGCTGCGTGTAGCTGACGCTCAAGTGGCAGGGCAGGAACACTGAGCTCAGACCAGCCACACAAGCAGAGAAGTCACATCACTGGCAGTAAGGATGTGGAAGTCAGCTGGTGTGTCCTGAAGCCATCAGCTAACCATGAGCTGAGGATACACAGAGAGAAATATGCCGGTAAGTGCCATCCAGTCGGTACAGCGGGTGGTGGGTTTGAACTGCCATCTTTGTAGCCCAGTGCTCCTCCTACAGGGCCAGGACTCCTAAACAAATGTGGAAGTGCGGAAATGATGGGAGAATACTTCAAGCAAGAATTTCAGCGAATCTCGAGGT